GAAAGATATCCTAACAGTGGTTCTGAAAGCATAGTTTAGAACAGCATCAATCTCACTTAGGAACTTGTTAGAGATGCAAATCTCCCTCCCGTTTAATGAGAAAGAGAAGGTGGGGAGCAATCTGTGTTTTAGCAAGCCCTCCAGATGATTCTGATGCGGACTGGAATTTGAAAACCAGTGTCCTGGACAAACACTGTATGTTAGGGATCATGCCCAGCTGTTAGTAATACAGACCTGAGATGACAGTGGCTTAAAGCACATATCAAGTTTTCTTTCCATAAAAGAAGACTGCAGGTAGGTAGTCTTGGATGATTCAGATGTCAGATTTTCACTCTGTCCCTGCCATAAAACCCTCATCCTCATGGTTTTAAAATGGCTGCTGAAATTTCAGCTATAACAAACATTCTAGGCAGCAGGAAAAAGCAAGGGAGGTGGGGAGAAGGCAAGCTAGGTAAATTACTTTCCAAGTGCGCTGTCAGATACCCTGCCCAGTGACTTTGGCTTGTAACTCATTTGCCCATCACCCCATAGTTGAAAGTGGAGCTGAAAATTAACAGCTGGTCATAGTGCTGCTTCGAATAAAACCAGGGATGCCAGAAAGAATGAATACTAGAAGGAACTAGCAACTTCTAGAACTTTCCTGGAATGGCATCATTCATCCAAGCTAAGCTTTTAAGAACATTATTCTGAAATAACTCTTTACTACCCATGCATTAAAACACTATCTTTTATTTCTTAGAGGAAAAACTACATCCTTGTCTTAAGCAAAAGTCTTTGCTTACTTTGAGAATCTGAATAGCTATTTATCAGAATAAATGAATACAATTTATTTCACATAAGTAGAGGCTGTAGTTGTATACAGCAACCAAGGGTCCTACACAGTTTTTGAGAGGTTGATTTATAACAAACATACATGAAAAACAATCAATTAAAAATACATTCTCTTCAGGATTGTAATTTATCTCATGAAAATGCATCATAAGGAAGTAATTCAAGGAAAGGAATTCAAACTGTTGATAGCATTGTTATTTATGACAGTCGAAATAAAATTAGTTTACAATCCAATGTCCTACAATAAAGGAAAGGCTGAGTAAATTGTGTTATGACCATTACATAGCCATAAAGACCATATAGCAACATGGCAGAGTGATTGGAAAAATATTGGGAGTGGGGACGAGAGTCAAAACACATGTATATAGATAAGAGCATTCAGGGAACTATAATGGTTTTGTCAGGATGTTAGAATTACGAATATAAGTGGTTTCTGTTTAATTTTCTTTATTGTTCTATTGGAAACAACAAAGAACAAACAAGAAACTGCAAGAACAAAAAACTAAATTTATTCAGGTTACTGGCCATGATTTTCCCTCAGATTCTTTTCTGGCTGTTTGTCTTATGCATGATTCAGCTGAGGGTGCTCCAGGAGGGTGTGCTTTGCTGCTTTGTGGGAAGGCTGTATGTAAGACCCAGTGAAGAGTCTTCCTGTGGCTTTTGTGTGCCCACGTGGGTTGACACCCTGATCGTCTGTCTCTGAAGCCGTTTGTTTTGCATCATCATCGGAATATTTTTTTCCAGTACCGAGAACAAATTTTACAATCATCTATTTATTCTCTCTTGCCACAGATTCCTCATAATCAGTTTCATGAAACTAGAAGCCAGTTGTCCCTATTTAGATGTCGATTTGTAGATGCCAAAGGGAACAAAAAAATGTGGAACTTATGTAGGAAACAAATCTATCAGTTTTTAATACGACGCTGTGTATAGACCTGCCTTCCCACCACTGGCACCAAAAAATAGTCCCCCATTCCTGAAATTACTGTGGATTCACATGGTTGTCCAGCTTGGTTAAGAGCTAGAATTAACCTTAGGTTGAGTACACTGTTAATTTTTTTTAGGTTGAAGATTCTCCAAATGCCCTTACTCCTTAAGATGGGCGGATATTTATGAGTGAAATAAGCAAACCCCTGGCTTATCTGCTTACAAGGTAGGCTGGTGACTGTTAGATTTAGAAAGGGTGAAATAAAAATGGCCAGGGAGCTTCTTGGAGGCTGTTGGTGATAACAAATGCTCAGCTCAGTAGAGCTGGGAGAACAGAGCAGAAGCTTATCAGGAATCCTCTACCAGCAAGGCCCGGGGACACTGGGGGAGCCAGGCCCCATGTGTCTGTACACTTGGCTAGGCTTGGGGGCTCACACCTATAATCCCAGCTACTTGGGAGGCTCAGGCAGGAGAATCACTTGAACCTGGGAGGCAGAGGTTGCAGTGAGCCGAGATCCTGCCATTGCACCCCAGCCTGGGCGACAATGCGAGACTCTATCTCAAAAAGGAAAAAAAAAAAATGGAAGAATCTTGATTTTCCAGGAAGTGAGAGACCTGAGATAAAGAAAACTACCTCCATAAAGTAATCAAGCAAACAAGAGTATTTACCTAATTAATCTTAGAGGAGAAACAAACCTGAAGGAGGACGAAGACAGGGAAATCTTGGAAGACTCTTTGAAATTTTACCAAATTAAACGGCTTAAGTTCATGTGCCTCTATTGTGCATAATACACATGCTGAATTTCTTTTATACTGAAGTGAAATTAACTCTGCTCCTTAAATACCAGGCAAGTGCCATAAACTGAAAGAAGCTTTGTAGAGAACCAGCAAAACCAAGGAAAGGAAAGCTCATAAAGTCCAAGGGTTCAGGGTTTTGGAGCACATTTTATTTTACAATACCAGAGAATTAACATCTAGTAGCAGCATAATACAAAATGAAACACCAATCTATTTAAAACTAACGTTACAGGAACTGTATTTTGAAATGGTAAGGAAACAAAATAGGAGATTTAGAGACCAGTCGATATAAATGCATAAAAAAACCCAAAACTCTCATTTCATCATCAATGCAAACAAAAATCATTTGTAATAACATACATAAGAATACATTCACTTACATTCACAAAGTGGATTATCATTTTTATTTTACATGAAATGTGTCAAAATATATGTAGGTATATCTTCACATTTGGAAAGGCAAGATAAATCTTCAAATTTAAATATCCACGTTTCACTTTAAATAACCAAAATATTAAAAATAGCAGCAACACTGGTCTTTAAATACATCTAATATTACAAGAGATTGTTCACATAATATAGGCTATTTGGGTAGCTCTTTCATTATTAATATTGTTTAATATCCATATACAATTTAGAAACTCTAAGGTTCTGGTCTGATCTCTGAATAACTTGGAGTCTAGATTCAATAAATACTATACAAAGAATTATAAAACACGGACTGCAGGACATTCTGAGGAACAAGGAGGAAATCATACTCAAAGGTTTTAGGGAAGAATCAGATATGAAGGCGTACAGGAAATCTGCGGGATTTCCAAGGCAAAAAGGTGTGATCTGACAAGCTCCCTGAAATGTTAACAAACTGAGTCCAGAGAAATGTGTGAATGTCTCGAAGGCACTTTCTCCTCTTCATCCTTCCATGTTCCCTTTGAATATGGCATTTAAGTGATGAACAACGTGGGAAGTTTCCCAATAAACAGGGAATAGAATAATTTCTCACCAGGAGGCAAGACACTGGATCAGGAGTTTATTTGTTTCTCAGCATTTACATTTATTCTCATGACCAAAGGCATAAAAACCAAGATTTCAACTGGACCTCGTGTATTTCATCCTAGATGGTGGGAAAGTATTTCTAGCCCCATTCTCAATGTAAGCCACTGCACCAACGTGCTAATCCTATTGGCTTAGAAAGAAACCCCAGAAGGGGTTCCAGGGGCTTCCTCAGATCTGGATTTGGTTACAGAAGTTGCCCCTGTGACTGGGGACTTTTTTTATATTTCAGTGGTTTTTCAGAAAAGGTCAATGTTTAAGTCTTTATATGGAGTTGAATGTTTGTTTGCCTTATATTACTACAGGTATCACTCTCTGACATGTCAATAGTTTGTACCTATTTTCAAACCACTTCATATACTATCTCAATCGATTCTCACAAAAAAACGTGTGAGGAAGTCAGGATAGGCATCCAAGTGCTTATTTCAAAGACTTGGAAAACTGAGGTTCATAGAGACCAAAGCGACCTACCTGTCCACAGTCATACGTGAGTGAACCAGTATGGATCTTTGGCAGAACTTAGCTCTATACAATGTTTACTGATTTTGAAGAATGCGGCTTGCTAATAGCTGTTTCTGAAGAATGAAGTAATTTGAAGGGGGTAAATAAAAACGAGTTCAAGAGAAGAAAGGCAGCGAGAAGTGGTGTCAGTTGGCAGTTAGTATCATGAACTTGAAAATGAGCAAAGTGCATTTCATGTTTAGAACACAGACATTTAAAAATATGTAATACTTAAATCTTCCAAATTGTCCTATGTTGGCCTTGATTTACTATGTCTTTAAGTATAATATCTGAGGCTACATCGCTATTTACTGAGGCTGCCATTGAGACATATGGTGACCAAGAAATTTTTACATGAGTTCTACAATTTCCCAAGAGACTGGTGAAAATGTTATTGCCTATTCTCAGCGCCCCATTCCTACCCCATTTCACTTCTAGAACAATTCCATTACAGATATGTGTGTGTGTGTGTGTGTGTGTGTGTGTGTGTATATATATATATATATACACATATATACCACTGTTAGGATATCTTTCCTGAACATTATGTGTGTGTGTGTGTGTGTATATACACACACACAATTCCTACCCCATTTCACTTCTAGAACAATTTCATTACAGATATGTGTGTGCATATATGTGTGTGTGTGTATATATATATATAAATACACGTATATATCTGTGTGGAATTGTTCTAGAAGTGAAATGGGGTAGGAATTGTGTGTGTGTGTGTATATGTACATATATATGTACATATATGTATATGTACATATACACACACACATACATACACACACACACATAATGTTCAGGAAAGATATCCAAACAGTGGTTCTGTTTTATATATATATATATATATATATACACATACATATATATATATATATATACACACATATATATATATATATATATATGTATATATATATGACTCATTTGGTGGCTTTCTCAAATGTGGGTTTTAGAAAATATCCTTAATAAATACTCTTGCTGTGTCCTTGGGAAAATTAGCTTTTTTTTTTTATGGAACTGAGCTGAGAAAGACTGCAAGAGACATACAGCTTTTATCACTTTATATCTGGATTCCAGTTGGACAGCTGCTGGAGATGAAAAAATTTTGAAGGACTATAAGAATTAATTTAGAAAGCTGTCATATTTCACACAACCTTTTCAAGAAAGTTTAGTGACTCTTAGCTTGATAGCTCTGTAAAACAAAATTATAATAATTCCATAGGGAGTATTCCATTGTAAAGAAACTTACCTAGGATGGTAACTTACGAGTTGAAGACTTAGGCTTAATGCTCTGGTGTGTGACACTTGGAGCTATTAGTCAGTTCTTATTTTTATTCGGTAAATGAATTTTAAAGAAACAGTTGAATTAAAAAGGAGGCCATTCATGATACTGTTGTGTAACATGATAAAAAATGTTGTATAAATCTCTTCATTCCTCATTAGGCACTACCTGTCCCAACCCATATCCTCACCCCCTTCCTTAACTTTCATACACCTATAAATGCCCCCCTCAACAGTCTCCTCAACCCTGAATTGACCAAGTAATGCACCAAAAGGCAGATTATGCTTTGGCAAGCAGGAAATTGGACTATTCTTTCAGACTTTTCTGAGGTAGTGAGTCTTTCCTCCTCTGCTCTAATGGTTAAGAAATGTCTTGGAAGCTGAGTTAAGAGGCAAGTGGAGTGTTGGTCACAGTACTTAACACTACTCTGAGATGGTGGTTTACATGATCAGATGATTACCACATACTTCAAAAGCTTCTTCAGTAGAATCCTGTTATGTGGAGAACTTAAAGATATCAAGGTTGCTATGATGAGGATAAGCCACAGTCTCTAAAAAAGTGCCTAGGTGCTCAATAATATTTGATGACTGACTGAATGTTTAAGATCTCTGACTTAGCTCAGTGAGATTACAAGCAAAAACAAACATTAAAAAAACCTAACCAACTGCAGATAGTATCATCAAAGGCTAGATCACTTTCCCTTGTGCAAGGAATTCTGGACACCTTTTAAAGTCTGGGACGACTGAGTTTAAACAGTACGTATTGGGCATAGTATGGTATTCAATTCCATACTGACTCCATTTATCAGGTACCCTCTTATTTCCATCCTGATTTTACTATCGTGATGTGGTTGTGAGATTTCTATCCATAAATAACTTTTCTGAGGACAAAGTGATCCAGTCTCTCTGTTGTTCCTCTAGCTTTTCTGCCAAGCATTTAATCAAGATAGGGTCCACCTTAGAATCAAATTTATTAGCAAACCAATGTCCATCTTTGATAAGCCACCTTAATTCTGCAGCTCCATAAATACACACGCTTCGAAGGTGAGATCCGGTACAACTAGGATACAAAAAGCCTTCATAGTAATTCCACTTGACAAGGCGGGTCTTACTCTGCAGATCAGACACATCCTGGGCTGATCTGGAAATCTCCCCAGGTATTCCTGGAACCCGAATCAGGGTAGCCCAAAAGTGCTCATCAGGAGAGTATGTGTCCTTAGACCAGGCAAAAAAGTCTTGAATGATGGAGTTATTGAAGATATATTTGACAAATGCTTGACTTAAAACAAAATAAGCACTGCCAACAAATATCTGAATGTTATGGGGGGGTGCTTCCTTGGAGATGTTTGTCCGTATTGGTAGCTTCACATATTCATAAGGCACCCGTTTGAGTTCATGATGGTAAGTGAATCTTTCCAATTTACTGTTAGGGGGTTTCACCGTCTCCAACATATTTGCTCCATTGAGTTTTTTCAACTCTGACACTAATTCAAAATTTGACTTCAGGGGAAAATCTTGCCCACAGAGGTTGATAACGTATTTCCATTGGACTGAAGACTTCAGAAGGTCTGACAAGCAATTTAAATCAGCTTGGAGTCTGGAAATGTGGGCATATTCCACAGCCTCTAATTTGGAAGCAATGAAAATATTGGAGAAGCACTTAGCTAAATTGTTCATGGCAACTTTGAAGGTATCAGGTGCCTTACGATCATAATGGATGCAGTAAATATTGTGCTGGTTGTATATAGCGTGAATAAGCCTTTCAACCATAATTGCATCTTTGTGGACAACCAGAGAATAGGCTACTGGGAAGCTTTTCTCCTCCTTTGAAACGAGCTTTTGAGCATAACCTCTTAGGGTCTGATAAATGTCACAATCACTGGTCATTGCCACAACATCATCATCCTCCAAGTCAATGATGTCTCTTCTTCTTATTTCCAGACTCTTGCCAATTTCCAAAGGCTCCTGTTCATAGATACCCGAACAGTTAACTTGATACCTGACTTCATCCTTAACATGAGTGTATCTGTTTCTTACAAAAGGTGACGTACTCAGCGAGTACTCAACCAAGTAAATGTCTCTTTGTGGAAAGAGTCGTCTCACATTTAGAAGCTTTAACAAGGAGAACAGCCATAGGGTTAAAAACAGGATGAAAACTTTCTGCTGTAGGGTATGTTTAAAACAACATTTGAATATCTTCATTCTGTAAGAAGAGAAAGAAATAATCCAGTTGGAATATTAAGAGAGAATCAGGTCAGTTTGTCCAAAATCTATTGAGCGCCTACCACATACTACACAGAACGCTGGCCCCAAAGACGAATGAAACAAGGTTTCTATCCTTGAAAGAGTCCAGAAATAAGGAAATGAAATTATGAAGAATGGTGGTATTTTGGAGTATTCTGCGTTAACTATACCTAATTTTGAGAGATGTTGGTTTCCAAATAGAATGGAAGGTAATGTAAACTCCTAAAATATAAATATAGCATGTCTTATATTGTCTGCATTTCTGCTTAGCATATTTGAGGAGGGATTGCTCTGGTTTGGGCAGAGATCTAGAGAACTGGATGTCATCAAGAGAGCCTCAAAGATGCAAAGGACTCGCCTGAGGCCAAAGGGAACATCTGTCTTGATTCTACCTCCAGATCCTGATTAGATCCACATCTGAAGTCAAACAAGGAAAGCCCAGTTAAACCCACCTTTAGAAAGAAGAGTGGTGGGCAGATACTCAAAGGAGCTATAGTATAAGCATTAGAGATTATAAAATGTATAGATAACAAAATTGGGTAAACCTGCATATTTTCCTTATTTTTAATTTTGTTAATGCTCATTTTCACACAGGGATTAGCAATTTAGCCCTTAAAATAAAAACGGCCTGATTCTCACTGAGAGTGGTAGGTGGGGGTATAATAACTACCTTGGGGGGCAATTTGGAAATAGCTGTCAGTTTGAAATGTACCCACCCTGAAGATGCACTGTGTGCTTCCCTATAGCGTTTTGTATTCAACAAGGAGGTTCCCTATGTGCTTTGTATACAGTGCTTTGTATTCAGGCAAGACAGGAAATATCTCAAACATCCTTAAACAGTGCATTGATTAACTTACATTACATGTAATCTAATTACATCCATGCTATAATATGAGAAAAGGTCTGAGACCAATCTGCATGTACATGCCAATGCGGAATAATCTCTAAGATATACCGTGAAATAAAAACAAGCAAAACGTAGAAGCATGTATAGTATGCTTATGTATCTATACATGCAAAGAGCATACGCTACCAAACTTTTTCTTTTTTATTTTTTTGAGATAAGGTCTTGCTCTGTCACCCAGACTGGAGTGCAATGGTGCAATCATGGCTCAATGCAGCCTTGAACTCCTGGGCTCAAGTGATCCTCCCACCTCAGCCTCCCAAGAAGCTGGAACCACAGGTGTGTGCCAACATGCCCAGCTAATTTTTTCTTTAGTCAGGACGGAGTCTCACTATGCTGCCCAGGCTGGTCTTGAACTCCTGGCCTCAAGTGATTCTCTCACTTCAGCCTCCCAAAGTGCGGAATTACAGGCATGAGCCACCACCCTCACCCTAAACTTTTTCTTAAAGGGCCAGATAGTAAATATTTTTGGCTCTGTTGGCCATACTGTCTCAGTTACAACTACTCAACTCTGCCTGTTTTGGTGGGAAAGCAGCCAAAGATTATAATTCAATGAGTGGGTGTGGCTGAGTTCCAATAAAACTTTATTTACAAACACAGGCAGCTGGCTGGATTCAACCCACAGCTGCAGCATTTCCAAAAGGATACTGTATACACACAACACTGGTAACAAGAGTTGCTCTGCAGGGTAGAGTGGGAAAGGACTGACGATTGGGGCCTGGGTAGGAGGAGGATTTACTTATCACTGAATATCTTTTAGTATCATTTGCATTTAGAAATGATTATACTACTTTTTCAGATGAAAACAGGCTGACTAGGAGGAGGGTACAGAGGTACTTATACAGAGCAGCAAGAAGGTGGCCCAGGAAGTACTAGCCCAAGGCTCCAGGACAGGAAGGCTGGCAGAGCCCCTACGGCTGAGGCTGAGATACTGAGAACTGGTGGGGTCCGAGAGCCCACGTGCAATTTCCTAGCACATCTTAATAAACCTTAAATGGAAGACATAATCATTGTATCCAATTTCATTCAAGAGAATTACCAAGAAGTTGAAGCCCAATTTAATTTTGTAGATTTCATCTGTACAGACCAATTGACAAAACTCTCCCCCGGGAATGACATCCCACCTTCCTCATTCACCTCCACTTAAATCCCTCTGTTTAAAGAACCACACCTTCACCACCACGAACTGTACTGCAGAATCCCACGCTCCAGCCACACCTCGTCTCTCCTCTGTGGGCTGCCCCAGGCACCTATCCTCAGCTCACTTCTCTTCTTGTGCATACTTGCCCCCATCTCTGGATTCTACCTTCCACACTGATGCCTTTCCACCTTCCAACACCTTTCCCTCCAGCCCTCACCTCTTGCCCAAGCCTCAGAGGTGAACCTGCAGTTGCTGGATGGACATTGCCACTTGATATCCCCCAGGCACTCAGCCTCCACGAGTCCAAAACTAAACTTGAAACTGAACTCGACATCCGTACTTCACCTGTGTTTTGTCTCAATGGCGAGACCATCCCTCCACTCATGCATGGCCCATGCTTGAAACCAGAGTTACCCAACTCAACCATTTCCCTCACACCCATATTAACACACCACCTCATAAATGTGCCTCAAATCCATCCCTTCTTCTCCATCCCCACTGCCAAGTCCAGACAGCATCTTTGCTGCATCAGCACCCAGGTCAAGAGACTCCTAGTCAGGCTTATGGCCCTGGGTCCCTTGTCAGGTCTCAGCTTTCTGCTCCTCCAAAGCACACCGAACAGGGTCCCATCACTCAGGCTCAAGGCCATGAGCCAGGGTTCTTGCCAGTTGTTCTAAAACCATGGAAAACTGTTCCCCCACCACCCCCGCCCGATGCACAAGGCAACTCACTGCAACTCCAGAAGCCTGGGCATGTGTGTGGAATTGAGTGTTGTGGTACAATAGAAGACTAATCAATCCCAAACGTGCGTGTGTGTGTGTGGTCACTGTCTTAATTCCTGGTCACTAGGCATAAATAGTATGTAGCTTACAGAAATGGCTAGAATTAGAACGGGTGTAACCCAAAGTAAATTTTGGCTATTTCTTTTCTCACTTTATTGGTCCATGGAATCTCTAATTAACATTAATTAGCACTTCACCCTGACACCACAGTGGTAAAAAGATCTCACATTTTAAAGAGATTTACCAAGTCCCCCAGAGTTGTCATATCATTTAACTATCTTTACACTTATATAAAAAGACAAAGGCCAGCTGGCTGCCTTCTTACTCATTTCTACGGCTTCTTCTGCACCCAGACATCCCTGCCCTTCCTTAGAAGGCCTGGGGCACACACGTCCTGACTCCGGCCTGGGCTGGGAGAGTCTGAGCTGGGCAGGAGGCCATGGTTGCCTGCCCACAGATAGACAGTCAGAGGACATCCAGGGGAGGAAGAGGTTGGAAGCACCCAGTGAGAAGTCCTTTGGCCCCTGGCTCTGCGGCCCACATCTGAGAGTCAGGAACAAGAGTGAACTTCAAAGGAAGAAGGGTAGGAAAACGGGACAGCCCAGGCAACTTGCTTTCTCATGCACCTTCTTCCACCCAAGGCATCTTTAAGGGGGAGAGCTTGTCTGTCTTGGGGCCAGCCTTTGATATCCTTTGAAACGAGCAGCCTTCTCCAATGGCCAGAAATCACTTCCCCTTTTTTTTAAGTTCTGGGATAATGTGAAGAACATGCAGGTTTGTTACATAGTTATATGCGTGCCATGGTGGTTTGCTGCACCCATCAACCCGTCATCTAGGTTTTAAGCCCCGCATGCATAAGGTATTTGTCCTAATGCTCTCCCTGCTTACCCCCCACCCCTCAACAGGCCCTGGTGTGTGATATTCCTTTCCCTGTGTCTATGTGTTCTCATTGTTCAACTCCCACTTATGAGAACTGCAGTGTTTGGTTTTCTGTTCCTGTGTTAGTTTGCTGAGAATGATGGCTTCCAGCTTCATCCATGTCCCTGCAAAGGACATGAACGCATTCTTTTTTATGGCTGCACAGAAATCCTTTCAACTGAAAAGCATTCTTTTCCCCAAAGACGTTCGTAGGTGCAAAGCCACTTGGTATGGAGTTTCTGTCAGCTCCTAAAGGGGGGTGTTGGCCTCCTCCCAGCTGCAGTGGGCACTAATTAACAGTGAGGGGAATGGTGGCAGGAGGTTAGAGAGGCCCACGGGTCCCCAGCCTTGGCTCTGCTGGCTTTGGCTTCCTCTGAAAAGAACATTTGTGTGACACCCTTGGGCCCCTCCCATCGGGCTCTGCAGGGGGTACACCCCCAGAGCAGCACAGCCCCAGGGGACACAAGTTACAGGGGGTGGGGGTAGGCTGGCAGAGGCCCCAGACTTGGAGGAATGAGAACCAGCTCCTGAGTTCTGACCAGGTCTGACCAGAGTCAGCTGGGCTGAGGCTGGCTGTCACGTTGGTTTCTAGGAAACCAGACTAGCAATGTCACCTTCTGCAAACACCACACCCAGCACTTTCCCTCTTAAAGGCTTATGGGCAGGAAGTAGGCAGGTGTTTTGCTGCCAGGAAGTTAGTCTTACAATGACATTACAAATAATGCCCCACCCATGGGAGAAGCAGTATTTCCACTTCTACCCGTCCAGGTAGACAGGGAGGTCTGACATGCTGTGGAGTTTATTGCCACATAGGCACAGTTTCCTAGTGATGACAGAAATGAAAAAGCTGTAGCAAGGTTTGGTGGCCATAACTCAGGTGAAGTATGGCCTAAAATAATTCAGTAAAAACCTGCTCCTCACTAAAGTCCCAATAGGGATGTGGAACGAAGCGTTTCCCTCAAACCATGTTCTTCTCCCAGCTCTCCCAGACATTGCTGGAGCCTGCAAGGAAGCAGCAGGGGCACAGAGGTGGAGCCCAGCGACATGGACAGGACTGCATTCAGGGACACCGCAGCGACGTGGACATGGCCGCACTCAGGGACAACGCGGCGACGTGGACATGACCACATTCAGGGACATTCCAGCTAGGTGGGCACAACCGCATTCAGGGCTAAATGGCTACAACTGTTAGCGGCTCTTCAACTAACTCTTCTTACCTGGGCAATTTAAAAACCAGGACTGTGGAAGTACAGATGCTTCCCCTCCCAGGGTAGAAAGGGGAATGGGAAATCAAGAATGGGAGGAAGGAGACTGAGAAAATGACTGAATAAGGTTGAGTTGAGGGACCAAGAATGCCTGCGCTTTTTTCAGTACCAGGTTGTGGGGCACTAGGGAGAGAGGAAAGAAAAAGCTGGGCTTCCAGATGCCACCGACCCTGGGCTTGAGTCCCTGGATGAACACTTAGTAGCTGTAGGACTTTGATCCAACTATTTAAGCTCTCTGAAGGCCAGTTTTCTTGTTAAAAAGGGGGCTGGACTAGGAAGCAGCTCCATGATCCTGTTCCTCTCACCGGGTGTCACCTCCCAACCAGCGTCTCCAGCTACCCTCGCGCTGACGCTTTCTGGCTGACAGAGGTTTTGAACCTCCCTGGGACGAAGCTCCCAGAGGGATGGGCAGGCCGCCAACTTTGCTGTTTCGCAGCTTCACTGTGGATACCTCCAGACACTGGAAAATCTGAGGTGATTAGGGACTCCATGGCTTCTTTAAAGACCCTGCCCAGACCTGTGGCTTACTGTCCTGATTTTTGGTCTACCTCCTATTTCCCCACAAAGTCTCAACAAACTAAGTATTTTAGAATTAGTGCCTGAAGGCCTCCATGTAATACTCTTTATTAATTTTATGTATATTCATCCCTCAGTATATGCAGAGGATTCATTTCAAAATCTATGCACACTCAAATCCCACAGTCAGCCCTGAGGAACCAGGTATGGGAAAAGTTGGCCCTCCATACACATGGGATTTGAATCCTACAAATACATTTTCAATTTGTATTTGCTTGAAAAAAAAAATCTGTGTATAAGTGGATCCCCTGAAGTTCAAACCTGTGTTGTTCAAGGGCCATACTGTAGTTCTGATTAATGTAGAATCACTCAATCAAGAGTTATCACTAGGGGCACTGTTTTAAGTACTCCAGGTTTTGGGCGTAATGATTCAATCCCCTCAAGAGATCGATGAGGTAGGTACTATTGTTATCCCTCTTTTATAAGAAAGGAAACTGAGGCAATAAAAAACTGCCCAAGGTGACAGATCTAGAAAGTGCTTTAAATGGAACCTGAGCCCAGAAAGTTTTGCTGCAGACTTGCACTTTTAACCCTTTATGCACACCGTCTCTTGGACTATAAAGAAAAAATTCTCCATATTTCCCACAAGAGTTGTAGCCCTTGACTAAATTTTCTCTTTACTGTCTTCTCCAAATGTCCTAAAACAAGAACAGAAGTCGACTCAAATTTGGTTTAACCCTGTTTAAGAGATTATTTCCATGGAGAATCAGCCTGGAGGAAGGCTGGGTGAGGAATCACATTCCATTTCTGTAGTCACAGGCTGGGACTGATCAATGAACTAATGAAGAGGTTAGTCTTCCAGCTCATAGAATCAATTCAAGGAAGAGAAAGCAAGCTCATCATGAGGGATGCTGCCATTAGTTACTCCTGTCCCATATCCTGTCACTGAAGACTTTATCAATTCATTTGTTCTTATAGTTATCTATGGCACAATTTAGGCACAGAGAATTACTAATTGTTTTAGAAAACTTTCTGGGTGAAATTTCTGTTCATGTGAAGAATATTCCCGCTTCAGGCCCACCTTAAAAGTTCTTAAACTTTGTATTATTACATATCAGTTTGAAAAATAGGATATGAAGAGCTTATTGATTTAGAAATATCAGGATTTTGCTTCTGTCTAAAGTCTTACTAAGAAGAATCATCATGTAAGAAGATCAATAGAAAGATGAACTCACTAAAAAGCATCCTGATCTAGTTGAATAAGCTAACATCCTGCTACTGCAGCTCCTTGATTTCAGTGAAGTCACTGATTCTCCCTTGGTGACTTGCTCATTGCCAAGCCCAGAGGATGTTCTGGAGTGAAACCATTAGGTGGGAGGATGACTCAGCCAGATGCGGTTCTTCGACACTCCCACAGCACTCCAGGAGTCATGCAGAGGAGCAGAAAGACAAGTTTCTTGCCTAGATGACCTTAGGTTCTTATTGTGCTAGGGGAAGGATTACAGAGGCAAATAATGATTAGATTGTGAGAGGTAAACACAGCAACTATGCAAAACACAAGGAGGGGCGTGACTGGGTCAGAAATCCCATACAAATTGAGGACAAGCATTCCTCAAATAGTAATAAGATATGGTCTCTAAAAGGAAAAGAAAAAGATTTTCCATTCTCTTTCTATAAAAGTAAACACTTTTAGGCTGGGCACAGTGGCTCACGTCTATAATCCCAGCACTTTGGGAGGCCTAGGCAGATCAGCCTGGGTGCAGATCTCCTGAGGTCAGGAGTTCGAGACTAGCCTGGTCAACACGGTGAAAATCTGTCTCTACTAAAAATACAGAAAATTAGCTGGGCGTGGTGGTGCATGCCTGTAATCCCGGCTACTCAGGAGGCTGAAGCAGGAGAATCGCTTGAACCTGGGAGATGGAGGTTGTAGTGAGCAGAGATCATGCCACTGCACTCCAGTTTGGGCAAAGTGAGACTCAGTCTCAAAAAAAACAAAACAAAACAAAAAAAAACAACAACAAAAAAACCCAAAAAACAGAGAAGTCCATATATGAAGATAAGACTTACCGGTGACCCATCACCTGGCAATAACATTTTGTAGACAGTATGTCCTTCCAGAGTGGTTTTAAGAAACACATTTTTTTTTTGGCTTTGCTTTGTAACAGTCTCACAATATAGGCACTGTCTTACCTGTTTCTTTCATTTCACAACATACTATGAACAAGTCCTAACCTAAACTGGGTCTGTAAATTATTACAGAGTAAAGAAATCCTAACAGAGGTAAACATACTTTTCTACAGGAAAAGAACCATTCAAATAATATAATTCATGTTTCTAGGTCTTCTCCACCAATGCTTAATTCATAAACCCACAGTTCCTGAAGAAGCCTAGAAGTGCAGTCTCAAAACTGAAAATAATTTTAAAGGTGACTGTGCCAATATTTCTTCTCCTCTAAATGTGCCTAGCCATCATTTAACCCCATTTCATTCCTGGGGTGCGAGAACACATTTCCCCGTTTACCTATGTGTCTTGGTTCATTTCTGCTGCTATAATGAAATATCCTAGACTGAATCATTTAGAACCAACAGACATTTATTTCTTAGAGTTGTAGAAGCTGGGAAGTCCAAGATCAAGGAACAGATTTGGTGTCTGGTGAGGGCTGCCCTCTGCTTCCAAGATGGTGCCTTGTTGCTGTGTTCTCACATGGCAGAGAGCAGAAGGACAAAAGGGTGGGAGGGGTGAATGAGCTCCCCCAAAACATCGTTTATAAGGGCACTAGTCCCACGCATTAGGGCTTTACCCTCATGATTTAATCACTGTCTAAAGGACCCACTTCTTAATACTATCACACTGGTGATTAAATTTCAACACATGAATTTTGGGGAACACATTCAGACCATAGCAATATGTGTCCATCCAACTGCTCCCCATTGAGGGATTGGACAGAGGAGGGATGCTCAACTGCCTCTATTCAGGGCCCTCATGGTGGCATTTGGTCCAGCCTGGCTCCACTCCCCACTCACTCCATGGAGCCTGCACTGGCTAAAGTCAACAAAAAAGTCTTCATGTTGCCAGAGTCAGTGACACGTACGGGTCCCTTCCTAATGATCTCTGCTGAGAGATAGCACTATTTGAATGATCTTATTCACTGTTTTTTGTTTTTTTTTTAAGACAGGGTCTCACTCTGTCACCCAGGCTGGAGTGCAATGGCGCAATCTTGGCTCACTGCAACCTCCACCTCCTAGGTTCAAGCGATTCTCCTGCCTCAGCCTCCCTAGTAGCTGGGATTACAGGCACCCACCACCACTCCCAGGTTTTTTTGTATTTTTAGTAGATCAGTATTTCACCATGTTGGCCAGGCTGTTCTTGAATTCCTGACCTCAGGTGATCTGCCTGCCTCAGCCTCCCAAAGTGCTGGGATTACAGGAGTAGGCCACCACGCCCAGCCTCTTATTCACTGTTCTTATCTTATACTCTGTTCAATTATCCTATCCACCACTCAGGATAGTGGTGTATCTATGAGCTAGGCACTATTATCATCATCCTCATCTTTCAGATTAAAAAATCAAGTCAAAAGATAAATAACTTACCTTAGTTCATATAGCTAGTATATCGGAGGAGCAAGGATTTTCAACTATGGTCCAATTTCAGAGCCTAAATTACTAACCACAAGACTGCCTTTCTGATCTCCTGGCAGTAGTAGAACCCTGTTGGTTCTACATCCAAAATGTATTTCAAGTCCATCCACCTATTTCCACTCCATGGGAACCACTGTAATCCACACTAGCATCAACTTTTGCTCAGATACAAAGTAACCTTACCTGGCTTCCCCTGCTTTCCTCTAATCCATTCTCTGTACTGTAGCCAAAATGATTTTTTAAACATACAAGTCAGATCACTGCCCCTCCCTAACCCCACTCCCTACATCTAAAACCCTTCACTGGGATTTCTAAAAGTTCCTGGGACATCCCAGTCTCTTCCTTGCCCCAGGACCTTTGCACCTCCTGTTCCCGTGTCTAGCCTACTTTTCCTGGATGCTGGCATGACCAGCTGCTCCAGGAACAGAAATAGTTTTTCCTCAGGTCCTCTCTGATAACCCTTCTTGAACCTCTCTCCTATCACCCTCTTCATTTTCTTCTGAGCAGTTGCCACAAGGAACAGTTACTTTACGTGTTTATTATCTGTCTTGAGACAGAAACGTAAGGTCTTCCCCCAGTACTAAAGACATCTATACTTGGTACAGGGTAATTGCTCAATGGGATAAAGTCAGAAGACCTAAATTCTAGTCTGGGCTCTGCCACCAAAAATTCTTCAAGTGACCCTAGCATGTCACTTAATGTTGGACAAGTCTTTCTTTCCCATGTGTTAAATGGGATAAAGGTTTTGCTTTGCTCTTCTTTCTTTTTTTTTCAGATGGAGTCTCACTCTGTCACCCAGGCTGGAGGTCAGTGGTGCAATCTTGGTTCACTGCAACCTTTGCTGCCTGGGAAGCGATTCTCCTGCCTCAGCCTCCCGAGTAGCTGGGATTATAGGAGGGCACCACCACGCCTGGCTAATTTTTGTAATTTTTAGTAGAGACAGGGTTTCACCATCTTGGCTAGGCTGGTCTTGAACTCCTGGCCTCGTGATCCACCCACCTCGGCCTCCCAAAGTGCTGGGATTAGAGGCATGAGCCACCGTACCTGGCAGGGATAATGGCTTTTCTATCCCACAGTGCAATTGTGAAGGTCTTATGATACAATGCATGTGAAAGCCATGGGGAAAAAGACAACTCTGGTATAAAAATGTCAGGTACGAGGACCTCCACAAGAGGAATGGTTTCCTGGGAAAACTGAGAAGGAGTCAATATGTTATAAGTTGGTTTTATTTTTGTAAAACAGTACATTCATTATTCCCTTCATTCTGACATTCTAATTATTATTGGTTTTTCACTACTTGACAGCATTCTTTTTTGTTAATATCTGGAGTATAAACTGCTCTGAAACTAAAGTTTCAGAATTATGTAGACATACACCTGTCTTGAATTTTGTGAGACAGGAAGAAATGAAATGTAGTTTATCTTTAGAGTTGTTTTTTTTCTCCAGTATACTCAGTATTTTGCAAAAGATTAATAATCAAAGAAGTTATTTAAAAGACAGCCAAGAGCACATGCAACCAGTTTCATGCAGAGTTATGATTGGCTAAACATTATCTGTAAGTCTATGTGTTGCAAAAGCTATAAAGGTTTCCTATAAGTTCTTTATGTATTATGGGCAATTCTCCTCCAGGTATTGCAAAACTACAATGACTTGTTCTTGCATTCCTGTTTGGCAACGTCATCCCTAAGGACCATGTAACACATAAAGGCAGTACTGAGGATTCTGCAGCAACGTGAATACACAAACACACCCTCGCACTGGTCCTTTGCCAGTGTTCTGTCACTGAGATCATACAGCAATGAGACTGCCTCAGCTCAGTGAAGTGGGATGCCCTCCTGTAAAGGAGCTCTGTTTGAGGTCCCTGTAGAACATATGACAATTGACAGCTTTCTCTCTAGGCCTGCAATTATGAATGTCATCATCTTCCTTAAATAAAAGACTACTTGACCTGTAAGATTTGGAGAACAGAGACCTAAAGGAAAACACTGAGCATGAAAATAATTCTATCAACCACCTTTACAGATTTTAATTCTTCTAGCTAGAAACTTCACTGGAGCCTCTCACATTTGGGCAGAAATAAGGGACCTATAAGATTACATGGGAAATGAGCAACTCACATCAGGATGTATATACCCAGGCACTGACTTCTCAAGGTCATTGGAAATCTGGGCAGTGGCAATGTAACAACAACAACAAAAAGGTGCAGAATTCAGCCATGGTCACACCAAATGGGAAACAGTAGACTTGATGCTGGGCTTTACTTCAGCTGGTTCACAGGGCAAGTATCAAAAGCTAATTGTGGGTGTATCTAGCTGGGCAAAGCTACATGGCTAAAAAGTCTTTAGCGGGAAGTGTAAAGGGCCACACATGATGAAACTGAATGAAAAGTTTTTGTTTTGTAATAGATTTTGACCTTCACCAGGCAGTAAAACATAAAGTTTTTCTCTAAAAAAAATTCTTAAAAATATCAGAAGAGGGTGAATTTCAAAAATACCTATGCCCTCAAATTTCAGTTTGATGAAAACAGCTCACATGAAATGTTTGCTTCTTTTTAGACCTGAAGGATTATGAAAAAGGGGTGAATGAATGCATTAGATCTTTACCTCTCAAGCTTTATCACACAAAGAGGTATCATTCCTTCTTGGGATCCCCCTGTCTTCTCTGCCCTTCTAACTTAGCTTGACACAACATAAAGCCAAACTACATTTTGTGTTTCATGTTCTAAGTTAAAAAATATGGGTTGAGAATATTTTGGCTTCTTTTTCTATAAAGCAGAAAAATTGAACTGAAAAACATGTCTATTTTTGAAAATGTATGTTTACTGCACTAGAAATAAAATAACTTTCTCCACTTAATGTCTACATGGTATGCTTTTTTTCTCCCCCTCATTAATTTCTGGAATGACTTATTTTGGTATTACATGGCTGACTCCATATTTTTTAACTGGCCAAAATTAATTCTTCAAAGATTCCAAGGCTAGCTGAAGAGGTATGGGTAACTGATTTCTACATGTGCATTTAAAGTAGAATCTCCAACGTCCACAAGTAACCACATCACAGA